CATGCAAACGTAAAAGAAATAAATGTGCGGCGGAAGCGAAAATATATCCAAACAGGGAAGGATGAAAAAATCCAGTGAAACTAAAAGAATGAAAGTATATACATGTATATATATATATGAACCTCAATCGGGAAATAGTTTCACATGTTTTTTCAAATGATAAAATCAAACATATCATACATTAAAAGACAAGAAAGTTAGGGCAATTCATGAAACATGAAAGTTACTTTCTCGTCGCGAGCGCGGAGAGAGAAGAATAATAAACCGCGCGGAGAGAGAAGAATAAACCGCGCGGAGAGAGAAGAATAAAAAATATCTTGGGCGCGTAGTAAAGAAAAACTTGGAGAGAGGAAATATCTTGGGCGCGAAGAAAGAAAGAAATGGAGAGAGGAAAAATCTTGGGCGCGAAGAAAGAAAAACATGGAGAGAGGAAATAAATAAATATCTTTGGCGCGAAGAAAGAAAAACATGGAGAGAGGAAAATGACCACATAAATTTGCTTTGAGACGGGACAGACACGTTATTACCTCGGGGAAGGAGATATCCTTCCGCGTAGAGGTTATGTTATCAGCGGCTATTTTATGTACGCAGCTGTTTCTCGCGTGCGGGAGGTCGGTTTATATTCAGATTCGGTATAAGTTGTGCTGTTAGTTTGTAGATGGTGCACGTTTTTTTGCTTTTATAGTATTTGTAGTATTTGTAGTTTCGGGCCGCGAAAATGATGTGTTTAGACCGGCGATGGACACCCCTGTAATGGTCAGAATGGCCGCGAACCTTTTCTAGGGCGTATAGTAACGTCCACGTAATATTTTAGGGGTGTCTCGTATCGCTTTTTGTATGCTAGCGGTCGCCCCGAGCGTCTACTAGGGTGTACACACTTCCGGGTTGAACGAACGTAAAAAGTTCTTTTAATTGTGCATATTTTCACTAAATAAATGTGGACGTGTGTGTGGCTATGCAAACTTCTGTTCACCGAGTGCTGAGAAAGGAACCCGTTACTTTGGTACTGTTGCCTTTGCAACCGTGCAAAACAGCGTGCAAACAAAGAAAAGTTAGTTTCCGTGCGCGCTGTTACGGGAGTGTGGTCATGATCTTCCCATATATGCAAATATACTTCAGAGATATATGCAAGATTTATGCATATATGAAAAAATGTGCACACATTACTAACATTAAACCCACACAACTTGTAAACCCTTGTGTAAAAGACAGACGCGAGTAGTAGAAACAAAAAGAAACCCCTGGTCCCGGGCCGGGGTTCGAACCCACGACTTGTCGAGCACCAGCTTAAAATTCCGACGCTCAAATCGCTCGGCTAATAGGTCTAGATCCAGGTCTGGAATGCTAAATCTAACACATTACATTTAATACAATCAACTACACATAAGAAATAACATAAATATAAGAAATACACTAAACTACCCGGAGGTATAAAATCTCAGATTTTCCTTGTTCCTCCTTGTTTTACTGCGTCTGAGGAACGAAATCTGCGTGCTCTTTTATATGTAGCCATACAAGAAGTAGGGTTTCCTGCAAACCTTTATTTAATCTTGAAACTTTATATTCCTCATTTTTCAAGAGTTCTAGGTGAGAGAAGGTCAGGACTATGATCTTGACAAAACATAGCTATTCAGTAACGTGATTCAGTCCATAGTCCCTCGTTGCATAATATTTTTGAATGGTATTATTTTTGGCGGTGCCGTTCGTTCTTTTAATCTTCCCTCATTATTTTCTCTCTCATTACATATTTTATATCTCCCATCTTTATATAGTCTCACATACCACTGTATTTTCTTTCTATGTTGTTTGTAACTGCAATTAGCCCTCGGGCAAGTATTTGCAATAAACTTTCATATTTTCTTTCTCATTACATATTTCATATCTCCCATCTTTATTTTCTCTCTCATTACATATTTTATATCTCCTATCTTTATTTTCTCTCTCAATACATATTTTATATCTCCCATCTTTATTTTCTCCCGTTGCTTTTGTTTTATATTTCGCGGTTTGCGATTTATTTCCTCTCCCGCTGGCTGGCTGGGTGGGGGCGAGAGAAAATCCTGGGCGAGGGAGAAAATAAACCGCATGCAAACGCGAGAGAATATGTAAGCCGACGCGCAAGAGAAAATAAATGATTTGCATGCAAACGCAAGATTTATTTGCATGCAAACGCAAGAAACGAAAGCCCCCTCCCCCTTTACAGTAAGTGACAACCGGATAATCGCGGCATCATTGTTGTTGTCTGTCAAAAGAAATCATCTTGTGTTGAATGTGCTATATAACGTGTATGCAAATAACGGTACAGTGCAAATTACTGTGACACCTGGGGATGGAATGGAACAGGCCGATTCGGGGTCAGAGGTCAATAGAACTACATGTACAGCATCAGAGGTATTTTCATTCGACATCCATGCGTACGTTGCGGTGTGACTGACTTGAGTCGGGACTGACTGCTTGGCCTACCTGGCCTTCGCCTGACCTTCACGTCCACAAGTGCTCGGAGCGGCTCACAGTGGAATTTGACTCTATAGCTATACTCTAACCGGAAACGCCACGTGTCACTGTCACTGAGTCTTCCTTACCGATCGCAGGGGTTCAGGTAAGAGTTTCCTATTTACATGTGCCACATAACCGTACGGGCGACTGTTCTACGAGACGTCTTGAGCTCTAATTAAGCTGAATGAATTTTTGTTCAAAGCTCACTGTTTGTTGGCGCAAAATAAACAAAGGGATGCTAACCCTCGCCCCCCTCCCACTACAGCCGACCACAACCGGAAAAATAGACGTAAAACAGGGACAACAACAACAACATGCAGTGTATGCTCATGAGTACTTGTGCGATGTTTGGATTACATAATATTAATAATAGAAAACAAGCAGTAAGTTTTATGTATTTACCTGTTTTTTGTTTTTCAAGTTAGTTATTCAGCTTGCAAGTTTGTTTGGATTGGTGCGCTCTCGCCGCCTTTGCGGGTATATAACCAAAACTGATGGCAGGTGAATAAAACTAGGCCATTACAAATTATAACAATATAAATTAACTAGAGAACGACATTGGAAAGCACATTTCACAGAGACAGTTCCTGTTGCCCACCACTGTTGTATAGCTTGCATAATTTACATAATGAGACAAAATTAACAACAAAACCTAACAAAGCTTTAAATATTTCTTGGAGGTATGATGTTTGTCAGTGCCAGGATGTGAGTAGGTTCACTTTTTGTTTTCCTTCATCACCTTATGCTGGTGAAAATGCAAATACAGGACGTCTGTCAATAACAAATGCTATATGACGTGTACTACATATCCGCGATCGCTCCCTACAGGTCCACTCATGGCGTTAAGAGATCAGACAGGAACAACTGCAGGAACAACTGCAAGAACAACTTTGCCAAGCAGGGGAGAGATGACGGCCTTTTTAGATGTCATAAACGACCTCATTACAGAATGTACCGCAAAGCAATCTACGCAGAGCAGTCATGAAATCGCCTACATCCAAAGCAGACTTGAATCTGCAATTAGAAATGTTGCTGTGATCGCTTCCAGTGTATCTGCTGCCATGCGTGATACTTGGAGTCCACATTTGGAACAAGTATTTGCAGCCTGTGAGCTTCTGCAAAATGATTTAGAGCAAATGTATGTATTTTACTCTAAGAAAGGAGAGGAGGTGGACTCCTATCGATACAGAGTTTCAGAGGAGTACAGCGGGGGCAGACCAAGAAAGCATATCACGGTACAACAGATTGAATATCTCCGTGAACTTGGATTCACTTGGTTGAAAATAGCTGAGCTATTAGGCGTCTCCTTTAGTACCATAAAGAGGCGACAGCAAGAGTTTTCATGTAGAGAAAGAAGCAAGTATTCAGATGTCACGGATGAGGACCTGGACAGAACAATTATTGGTCTGAAAAGAGTTTTGCCAAATCATGGCGAAAATTACCTTTGGGGTCTACTAAAGTCTCTGGGAATATTTGTACCCAGGCAAAGGCTTCGCGACTCAATTCATCGAGTGGACCCCATAAACACTGCCCTGCGCTGGTTTTTAACCACATGTCGCAGATCATATTATGTGCCCTCTCCGAATGCCCTATGGCACATCGACAGCCACATGAAACTCATAAGATGGGGGTTTGTCTTTCATGGAGGCATTGATGGTTACTCAAGAACAATTGTGTATCTGGAATGCAGCAACAACAACAAGTCTGCCACAGTTTACAACGCGTTTCGTGCGGCAGTTGCCAAGTGGGGTGTGCCAGCTCGGGTACGGTCAGACTATGGCATGGAAAACACCAAAGTGGCACTGTACATGCTGATAAAGCGAGGCGTGGAAAAGAATCCCTTCTTGACGGGAAAATCAACCCACAACCAGAGAATCGAGCGTCTGTGGCGAGAAGTGCACCGCTGCATAGTAGAGGTCTGGCGCTCATTTTTCCACTACATGGAATTCGAGGGAATGCTTGACCCCTCCAATCCCCTACACTTGTTCTGTCTGCACTTTGTGTTCTGTCCAAGAATAAACATGACAGTCAATGCATTTGTCGAAGGCTTCAATGCCCACAAACTCAGAACAGCCAACAACTTGTCGCCACAGCAATTGTGGGTGGAAGGTACGTTGAAACTGTGGAACTCAGGTAGATCAGCCATAAAGAACATTCTTGAGGCGCCAGTTGATCCCCAGACCTACGGCGTTGACTGGGAGGGGCCTGTTCCGGAACTGCAGGACAACAACATTGATGTCCCAAGCGGTCTGGATGTGTCTGAAGAGCAACAAAGAATCCTGCAAGCACACATTAATCCTTTGGACTTTGTTGACATTTATGATACCTTACAATATGTACAGGCTCTACGCATCATGGCCCATATGATGCAAGGATGATTGGCACCAGGTGCTTCAATATGAGGGGGGGGGGCAACTTAGTACTTGAAATGAATGACTGTCTGAATGAACAGTTCTGAACATTACAAGATAATTTAATTTAAGTGTATATAGATATATGATTATTTTGAATACCATGAACCTGGCTTATGTCTTATAAACATTTTAGGCCAAAGTGCAAACTAGTATTTACCTCCAAGGAAGATAAAGACAGTTTGTGTGCTGTTTTAGGGGGGACTAGCAGTGCTGCATGTTTTGTAACTTAAGACAGTTGTCACAATGACTTATTTGTATTATGAAGCATGGCTGAATATCTGTTTTTTTCCCATACTTTTGTGTATATTAGACATCCAGGGACTTCATTGATATAAAAAGAGTTGAATCTTTACCTCTGGATAATTTATTATAAACAGATGTTTCGGGGGTCCATCTAACCCTCTTCATTTTTAATGTTTATTGTACAGCTAGTCATGTTTTTTCCTTTGTAAATATTTACTTTAATTTGATACAAAGTGCCTTATTGTGACCTAGCCAGGAAGCAAATAGAGATCTTTGCGGCAATTTTAATGGTACAATACATGTACTATTAAGGCCACACCAATTTAATTTGTTGGTTCTCGGATTTTTTCAGGAAAAATATGAAGCGACAGGGCGAAAAAAAAATAAAAACAGATCTAGGCATCCTATTATAGCCCCAAATGCTACGATAGGAGGTATGAATTCAACAAGAAAGGCTGGTTCAAAATTAAAAAAATGAATTTTGAACTTCTAATGATACCACTGCATTGAGAGATGGAATAACTGTAACGACTAGGAAGAAAAGGACTGTTTTCAACTGTTCAGGGCAAAATATGAGCATTTTGCAGTTGATTGTGAATTTTTTTTTTTTGCAAATCAGGAAAAAATGAAGAGGCGAATCCGAGAACCAACAAATTAAATCGGTGTGGCCTAATCAGTATACAACAGGATTGTGTTGTCAGTTTTTCATTCAGCTTGATAGGCCTATATGATAATCATGCCATTGCCCGCCTTTTCCACTATATACAGTATTCGTCTTAAAACATAAAAGCCAGCTCTATAAACATGAATCATAAAGAACAGTGTTTGTGAGCTTTGCATTATATGACACTTCAGAGGCAAATTGAAAACTTTTCGTATGTGCAACTTTCTAATAACATAGGGGTCGTCCCAGTAGTAGTTATCTGTCTGTCCTTACTTGTTTCTTGAATAAATGGCTTGGGGTACATTATACTTTGTCGTTTTACATCATTAAGGTACTGCATAGTTATGGCCAGGCAAAAAGATTTATCCTGCCACCAAAGGGGTTTTGATGTTTGAAAAGTCTTTTCAAGTGAAGGAAGAAGCTTCCTGTTTTCCTAAAAGATAAATTTCCTTCTCAAACATACAGAGTTGATTTCAAATATCAATTTTTTGAATTTGTTTTGTGTGTTTGAAATGTGACAAGTAATTATTGCCACACGAAAAAGCAGCTGATGGCACATTAATCAGAGCCCATTAAGCAGTGTTACAGAGGTTTTTGACTGTATGGAAGAAAGCTCAACTAAATAGAAAGCCAAATTGCAACAAACAAACAAACCTAAAATGATATCAAAGGCAAGCTGAATCCAACCTCTGCTTGGATGGTGACTCTTGTAATTAAATGTGTCCAGGCTCTGCAGACAGTTAAAGAATTACTCCGAGTTGTTTGTTTTTTTAAGCCTGTAAATTCTCTTTAATACCATTTATAATCATGTCTGCACAGGAAAGCGCAGTTCTGTACAAAAGGAGGCAGAGGGAGTTTACATGGGTGGGAGGAAGCAACTATTCAAACATCATTGATGGTGTGCCTGGCACAAGGTCTACATGCATGTATCTGTACAGTCACATATGCCATTCTGTTTCCCTCCCTGTACAAAGTTACAAAACTCTGAAATGCTAAAATCTACTCAAATGGGGAGTGTTTAGCTAGGACAACAAATAACAGGTACAAAATTTCTATCGGATGCAAAAGGCAAAAAGGTTGTTTTTCTTCCTATCCAACAAGGCTGAACCTGTTGTTGTCTAACGGGGGGAATTTGTGAGTAAGTACATCGGTGGTTGAAAACAGGTTGTTGTGATCCAATCATGATTTCATGTCACTAAAAAGTTGTATATAATCTGTATATAATTTAAAGCGAGGTACACATGTATATGATTGTTATAGAACTTCCAGATTACCGGTATTCTTGTCTACATTTGTAAATCAAACTTCAAAGCGTTTTTGTCTCAAATCAAAGCTCAGTCCGCATTCTTGAAGTGTCTTTCGGGAAAATCATTGTTGTTTATTGACATACATTGTATCTTGCCAACCTGGAACATGTGACATTCGATAAAATGCACATTCAAGCATAACTGTCTCAGTATATACTTCATATATTCTACAGCTCTATTAAATGAGAGATTAAACAAAACTTTACTTGCATACCTTTCAGCCTGGAAAACTCAATTTCTATGTCTTCTTTACTCCTGATATTCATTGAACAGCAAGCCTCTATTCTACAAACTTGTAATGCAGATTCTTTGTACAATGTTATTGTATCACTTGTAAGTTGTACCGCAAGTACAATGTCATGTATAAACAGGTCCACTTGGACCAACACTGAAACATAAGTTTTTGTATTATACTTATTGAAATCCTAACACTTGTCCAAAAATGTGAAGGCACTAAGACCTGATAGAAATACTATACTATTTTAGCTTATACTAAAGCCTGTCAGCATTGTCTTGCATTATGGGCACCACGAAGTGTCCATGGCACCTAGTCAGATGATGGAGAATGGTGATCCCATTATTGCCTGATCTTCACAGGGTAGAAAATATCGTTTGGCCTGTGTCGCAGACATGGTGCCTATTGTGCTACAGATTTTTTTAGCGTCTAGGCATGCCAGCCATTGCGCGTGTCACCGTGCATCGATTTTCATTGGGGTGCACCTTGGATGTGCCACAGGAAAATCACAGCGCGGCGCCACACGCAGTTGCAGGTTTGTCTACATGCTAAAAAGTTGTAGCACAACATGCGCCATGCGTGCGACAAAGGCCAAACGATATTTTCTACCCTGTGTAGATCAGCACGTTAAAAACATGACTTCAATGTTGGGGAGTGTGACCAGCAAAAAAAACCCTAAAATATAAAGTGGAATGTGATTTTGGGAATGACGCACTCATGGGAGCAGAGATGTATCTGCTGCTCCCCCAATGATGTGAGGGTGATCTATCTACCACTCAGGAAGGTCCGGAGGGATTCATCCAGATCTTCCTGAGTGATAGTTTTACACCCATCAACATCATTGGGGTAGCAGCGAGCATACATGTTCTTCTCTGCCCCCACGACTGCCTGTCTGGCCAATCTGCCATTCATCTCCGAACGCTGTTTTTTTGTGGTTGTCTTTTTGATTGTTTCGGGTAGGTCCTGGTCTGCCTTGGGGGACAGCCTCAGTCCCATGTTGGCGATTTCAAACCTCATGATCTCAGCCAGCTCCCCAACACTGAAGTCATGGAAGTGGAATCTGTAGGCTACCCGGGACTTCATCCCTGGATTGACTTCCAGGAATGAAGCCATCTCCTCCGGGTAGCCTGCAAATATCATGATGGGGTCACCATCCTCCATCACACTCATCAGCTCCTCCAAGGCTTCTTTGCCAACATCCTTGGAGGAGCTGGTGTCTGCCTGTGCTAGTCGGTACGCTTCATCTACCACCATTACGCCACCCCGGCTCTGGTCAATCTTGTTCCGGGTGACCTCTGTTGTTTGCCCGATGTATTTGGACACGAGGTCCCCCCTCTGTACGATTGTTGGCACAGGCTTGGAAATGACCTGTAGCTTGTGAAGGAATCCTGTATTGAAAAAATGATAAAGATAAATGACATGAGAAACTGATCATGACAAGCACCACTGTACTGTATAGTCTTGAAGACACATCACAAATGGTCTAGTGCAGGTGTTTTACTAACAGATTATCTTATTGAGGGATCAAGTGCAATAATGGTAACAAAAATGTGCAAATCACAAGATAAAATATAGCCAAATGTCTTTGAGCAATAAGAGCACTCCATGTATTGGATATTTCTCCATACTGACCGGTGATTTTTGTCAATATTAAGGTGATTATTCGATTTTATCATATATATGACATATGCAGCTGTCGATCAATCAGAAGGCTCCCTTTCCCATGGGTTATCAGGCCATAACTTAAAAAGAACGAGCCTATCCTGAATACATACATGCAGTGTACTTTTTTGGTTTTCAGTGTAATGGGTAAAATAGTTGGCCTACCTGTCACAGCTGTTGCCACTGTTGTTTTCCCAGTGCCTGGGTTCCCAATGAACATCATGTGGAGCCCCTGCTGCCCCACCTGGCGACCGCACAGCCGCTTCATGTATATAGACTTGGCGAATGTCTCCAGCTCGGCCTTGAGGGTCGTTAGGCCAACAAATTTTGACAAGCTTTCCATGAGTTCTGAAATAAATAAACAGATAAAGAGAACATTTTTACTGCAAGTTGCATGTAGGTGTTTACAATAACCATGTATATCTGAGTTAACCAGCAAGTGAATGGATGATCAAGTGTGCCTAATATAAGTTTAACATGGCCCAAAGCACTTGTGCCAAGTTGCAATTCAGAATCAGATGCAAAAGATATAAAAATTAGTACATTAATGACTGCAGAGAAAAAGGATATGAGCCACCAAAACATGATTTTGAGAGCCAGGCAGACTTCACGTACACGACTGATCAGGGAAATAGTGGCAATCTTATAAATTTTGTAGACCTTAAACAATGCATTAGGCCACAGCAAGTAAATTTTATGGATGACATCCTCCGCAGACTCCAAATCTAATGCTAGCGGGCGAAAAAAAAACAAGGCGGGCCGAAAAAAACAAGGTTCCCACAATGTAAAATTTTGACTCAATCATTGTACAAATGGTTTTGATTCAGTGGTAACATCACATATACACAGCCAACATCACATATCACTGCATCAAAGTCAGAAACCAAACATTAAATCAGAGTCTTTTCTTGTCTCCTCTCTTCCTAGTTATCTGCCATCCACGTTCCGGCATGGCAACAGACACCTTTGCCCATTTTCGGCATGGTGACCACTGTCAGAAGGCAACAAAATTTCTTTTTTTTTCTCCAAAATCAGGCGAAAATTAATGCGCGCGCGGATGTCATCCATAAAATTTACTTGCTGTGGCCTTATCTGACATATGGTAAAGGGAACAATCTGCAGGTGTTGGGTGCTTACCAATGTCAATGTATTAATTATAACAACATACTATATGTAAAACCAACAGCAGTATAATCAAAACCTGGATAGTGAGTGAAAGTGTGAGTGAGCTACATATGTACATGCAGTGAGTGAGTGAGTGAAATACATGTTGAGAGCAAAATCTGTAGTATAGTACTGACCATCAACAGCAACAGTGTCGTCTTTCGTCAGGTGCTCTGGCTCTATAACAGAAAGCAACAAATGTGTTAATGAGCATGCAACATGGGGATTGATGGCTACTTCAATACATGTTTTGCTTGAAGGTCTTAAGATCTCTTAAGTCCATGTTAATTCATCACATCTAACACTAAACCTTAAAAACAAATTGGACATGCCCCCAACGATTTTTAGTAATTCTAAAAAGGCCTTTTGTAGATTAGTTGTTCAGCACATATGCAGGCTTTGTTGACAGAAGGGAGAAAAGATTTTGTTTTGAGACTCAATGACCCATATGGCGCCATACTCTAGCAGGTCTCCATAGCCGGTAGAGGGAAAATACTGACTCGTATTTTTGAATAATGGAATAATCATATACATACCAAAAATTTTCCTACCCAGTTATACGATTTATGTCCTACCTGGGACGCGATTACATTCGATACAGGTGTTCCGGCCCGTGTGATAACTATCCGTACGGCCCGAATGTTCTTAACGTGACGGCCCGGGCCTTCCAACTGTTCCATAGAATGATTTGAATGCGTTTCGCCCTAACTAGTACTGCGTGCACCGCTTTTGAAAATTTGAATACAAAATTCAGACATTGGAATTGATGTCGTTGCATTTTTTTTGGTTTAGGGACACCAAGTTTTCGCTCATTTTGCATTGAAAGGCGTGTTTTCTTGGGTGGGCATGACATAAATAAAATACAACACGGTGTATTCCGCATCAACCTCGGTCCCAGCTCTCCCGCGGATCGGATCTCCCTCCAGCAGCGCTAGCCTTTGGGCGATCCGGATCCGACGCACGGTCGGGCTGGAACTTCGGGCGATACGGAATACACTGTGTTGCATTCTATGTATTTTAGCCTTATTAATTAGTATTATTATAAATTATTCCAGTAAGGCCACACCAATTTGACTTGTTGGTTCTCTGATTTAATTTTTGAAAAAAAAAAAAAAAACCATGAAAAATGCTATAAGGAACCATGAAGTCAACATACCGGGCAGGTTTGTAATTCAAACAATGTAACAACTCTGAAGATCTAGAGAACAGACTTAACAGCTGGGGCCAAAATATGAGCATTTGGAAAAGAAGTGGGCAAATTTGTGAACCAACAAATTAGATTGTGGCCTAGGTACATGTAATACCAAGGCTAATGTAACCTATATTAACCAGCAGGTTGCCCACTTGCCCAGGGCAAGTAAAAGTACTGTTCGGGCAAGTGAATATCCCCCTGTACTTGCCCAATTGGGCAAGCAAATTTTTTTAATGGAAGCTTAGTAACTCATACAGTTATTAAGCTGGGTTAATTGTCTGAAACCCAGCAACCCAATGTCCAGCCATGAGGGAATGTGCATGGGTAACAGGAAATGGTCAGTGAGTCGAGGGGTCAGCTTTCCCAGAAAGTAGAAGGAATGAAAGTAATACTGATGACAGGATGCGACTCATAGAATGGGCAGTTCAGTATTGTCAAGGGAGGCGGTACCAGGTACGCCTCCATGATCAAGGAAAGAGATATAAGGGGAAGAAGAGTGAAAGTGAATCACTTGTCCTGAGCCTGAGGCCACCGACACTGTAACAGAGTATCAGTGGTCAGAGATTTCCCCAGTCCCGCCCACCCTAATACTTGTCAATAGGAATTGTTTACTGGCATGTACTGTATTCATAATATTAGTATCAAGTTATGTTATATCCTAGGTGTAGTGAGTTGAGATAGTAAGTGACGAGTCAAGGTGCGTTAAACACCCACTGGACAGAGCATTGGTTTAACCGACCAGCCCGTTATTGGCTAAAACCATTGGCAACCAGGGTAAAACAGGTCGCCTGCTCGCAGTAAGACTCGTGTAGGAAGTAAGAAGGACCTTGCTATTAGATCTAGACTGAATGTATAAGCATAAGCGTCACTGGTGTGGCGTCTTGTACACAGAACTTTTCCAACTGGCATGTCAAGCACACCAGTAGTTTGGATATATTTTGAATTATGTACTCAGGAATTAGAAGCAAGGTCCAACCATTTTTTCAATAAAACTGGGAATGGTTGTATGGGCCATTCAGTGCTACCAGCCTTTGGTTTGAAAGAAACCTTTCCATAAGTAGAGGAGACAGAGAGCTCCACATGTTCACAAGGGTCCCGGATCAGTGTCGCATACCTAATGTCGGGATATTCTCTTGAATGAGAAGGGACTTCCTATGGTGCCCGACTAGCTTGCTATGAGGGTCGCCCGCGGCAGGGCTGATCTGGGGCGTACCCATAACCCTGTGTGATGGGCGGTTACAAGCCTTGGACCTAAGATGGGAAATGCCTTAGGTCGGACCTAGGATGGGAAATGCCCTAGGTCTAGTTATAGATATGGAATGGTTGGATTGGTTTGGATTGTGAGGTGTGTGGGGCGAAATTTGTGCTGGAAGTGAGCACAAAGCCCCCCATCTCACAAATGTAAGCATGTCAAAGAGAGATGGAAATGGGTAGCACTGAAGACCTGGCACCTTGCCCCCGATTTCTGCCACAAAGAAGTGTGTGTTGTCATGTTTGTGTTTGTATGTACTGGGTATAAGTAACTTTAGGATAGAGCTGGGTGAACGATAATTAATGCAAAGTATATCCCCTGCAGTATTTTGACCAAGTTTCAAAGTTTGATGAAATCATGTAGTACATCCAACATTACACAAACTCTCTATATATATATTAGTATAATAATTTCCTTTCTACTAGTAAAATGCATACTTGGGGCAAGTGAAAAATTGGTTCAGGCAAGTGGAAATGACCAGGTAAGACAAGTGGATTTTTGAAAACTTGTCCAACCCTGGGTACTAGTACAATCTGAGCCTTTATGTTTGTGGCCAGGTTGGTGGTCAGAGTTGTTTCCATGTACATGTAGTCATCAGGAATAACTTCTAGGCACACGGAGATTTGTGCATAAATTCCTAACTTCTTAGGGTTACTTAGACAACTTTGTTATTTAGTGGTATGTTTAATGGTCAACATTACCTTTTGCTGCTCGTGTGGACTTGCTTGATTTTGGCAACTTCCCGTCTTTCTGTCCTGCACCTTGATCAATACCAGAAACAAAGTCAGTCATTGAGTCTTCCAACCATTTTTTTTATCAACAGCTTAGAGGGATCATAGCCCCTACTAGGGTTTGAGTTGGCATCAGAAAGGGCAACCTGTAGTGAAAAAAATCTTCCTTCAATTTCAAAAAGACCTACGTTAAAATTGGATTTGAATTAAGAACTGATACATAATTGTCGGGTTGATGTTCATCTATTGTGCATGCACATTAAAATGGCCAGTATGTAAAGCTGCTGGCATAAAAGAATTAAAAAAAGGATGTCAAACAAGGACCATGTTACCTTACAAAAGGGTTGTATGATCAGGTCCTGCTATTAGAAATTACATTGAGTAATGGTAATTGAATTATAGAGTTCCTGTGCCAACTGACCTTTGGGTGGAGGCTGGTCCTTTTTCCTTTTGTAGCTGCGCGTTTTCACCTGATGAGGCGGTGATTGAAGTTCTGAAAGAAAGAACAAGTCTTTGTTATGCACTAATTTTTTCTTGCGGGCCATTAAGACTTGAGATTTTGATGGAGCAAGCATGGTTGTACGGTCGTCTTATTTCTTGTACACTATACAGCAAATGACAGGAAAAGAAAATTCATTTTCACAATGTCCACACTTGGCAGATGTAGGAGACGCTGAAGGTATAAAAGATTTCCAGAATATTCTTATGCCAATCATCATCACAATTAAAAATTTAAGTCACAGCTCTATGTTATGCAAAGGGAATCTAGTTTACCTTCAGTGTTGTACTCATCGTCATCGCTTATAGCAGTGACAGACTGGTTGTCAGATTCACGACGTTCATGCTCAGGCTGATCTGTAAGAAATAAATGCATTTAATTTGCTGTGATAGATTAGTCTTTGTGGCATTTCTTGTACATACAAACCTTGGTTTTTAAAAACTCTGTTCACTTTGACCACTGAAATTGTCAGTGAAAAGGAACAATATTATATTTTCCATCCCATTGAAATGATCAGGCACATTTTCTGCTTATAGCCATTGACCCTGGACAGTATTACCCCGCTGATTGTGAGGTTGGATACAATGAGAAGTGCCAAAAGCATGGTTTTATTGTATAGGTGGCCCTTTTTGCTGAGGTTGTTTCTAATATAGTTCTATAAGCAGCGACTGTAATGCATATATTTACATTTTACTTTTGCAATTATGGCCTGGATTGCATACCTGATTCTCTGAACTACCAGTGTACCACAGAACTGCACAATTGTTGAGGGAGGCATGTAGCTTAATATGACTTAAATGTAGAAACAGATAAGGAATAAAGCCACAACAACTGCTATATATACAGCCCATTGATGCATATCTAAATGTACTATGTACCTTTTGTCCATGCATGGTCTGTAGAAGCTGATAGGTTCTTGATGCTGTATCTACTGCCATTTGGGTCAGGAAGCTCATCTTCAGAGCCCTTCAGGTCATCATCATCATCATCATCATCCACTTCATCTTCTGCACCTGTTACATGGGAAAAAAATGTTTCAATTTAAATGCAAGGGCTGGCCACCCAATGCCGATCTCACAAGGAAAGTGAGACTACAGCGTTTGTCATTAACATTCCACACATCTGCTTGAAGTTAACCGGCAAACCGCCTAATTGTTAATACTATGGCCAATTCCAAAAGTCTAATCAATATAGTTTGGGGTGCTTCCAAAATATTCCAATAACCATAAAAACACTGAGCTTAAGTAATTTTTTAAAAACGTGCATGTTTGGGTATAGATCTGATGTGCCAAATTGCAATTGCATATGTACATGCCGATACAGTAAATCTCATTCATGGGATAACAGTTGAAAAAATGGCCACATAATACCACATTCAGTAGGATGTGTCAACTAGCTAGGCTTTTTCATTTAGGAAGTACATGAGTAAAGCAGTTTAAAAAATATGGATGGTATGTACTATCTTGTGAACAAGGTAAAAGAGAAGCGTACCAAGACAGTAGACCTCTGTCTTCCCCTTATAAAACTGCTTGAAAGTCACGAAGTCGAGGTCATTTGCAGGAATCATGACAAGGTCATTTGCGTAGCCTTTGCCCTCTCTCCTCCCAAACTGCCACTCTCTGAATGGCTTCAACTTCAAGGAAGAACTGAAACAATGAAAAGGAAATGAACTTGTTGTCGTCTTCAACATACAAAAATGATGTGATCATCAAGTACACATTTGTTTGCAGGCCAAAATTGTCATGTTACCGCCATGTCCCAGCCCCTCCCCGTCCGCACACTAAGGTGCACACCAATAACAGGGCTAAACAAATCACCTTGAGCCTGAGAACTCATTGTAAATCTGTCGAAGAGGATTTTCTTGCGGTAAGAATTCGATGAAGCGATGCTCGGCAGTGACGTCTGGATGTGTGGCGGATGTTGGCAGCATGTAAGTTTTCGCAAGCCATCCTGTTGATAGAAATGAATGGAATGTCATTGCAATATTCAAACCTGTATTTATATAGTCAAATCTTTAAAAGTGACCACCTCCATAGATCTACATCAAAATCAAGTCAAACCCAAAGCTGTACTACAAACTTTCACCACATATAACCCAGGCACTCAGCCAGTCACATGTGTATTTTGAGTCAACTTATAAATAATTACCAGTGGACACAAATCAGTGACTTAATTCATTCGTTCATTTAGAAGTTTTGACACATTCCCAACTTGAACCAGAAATTCTCCATACAATATACAATGTATGCAATTTGCATATACCTAGTCGTACATATAAATGCTGTCTATATTTTTTCATATGATAATATGGATTTTACATTTACATTTCACAGCCTGAAGCCTGAATATAAATAATATGCTGTCCATATCCCGTGGTGGCTTGACAGGAGCTGGACAGAGGCTCAAAACACCTTAAAGTTAAAGCATGGCATGTAAGAAACCATATGAAGAAACTTTGCACAAGACTCCTCAACATTGCAGTCTGGGTATGTACATAGGGGAGCCTCAGAGTATTGTGCAAAGCTTGCATGTAGGCCCAGCAATATTTGAAGGTGAAGAATCGGTTGAGAATGGTCGGATTGACACACAAATATAGGTCAGATGTTGGTCTCTTAGCCCATACAACTTATACAAGGTATATGGGTAAGGTACAACAGAGATACATGTAATATAGTACAGTTAACAAGCTTTGAAACATCAAAAACCTGCAAAAAGACATATACATAGACACAATCATTACAGAAATTTCTCCCATGGTCCAAGATACAAAAACTAACTAAATACTGCCTACTTTTCAAGTGCAAACATGTCCCCATGTGTCTTACGAGTAAGCTAAGATGACATTGTTTTCATGCAAACACTAAAAAATGAAACTAAAAAAATGTTTAACAAATGAAATGAATCAGTTTATGTCAATCTGGCAGGAGCTTTAACCAGCCATAGTTTTAAGATGGTTGATGGCTCAACGCCCAAAATATTTTTCAAAAAGCTGCAGCTGTCAAATGGTCATTGACAGCTTGCAGATCCTCATATGCCATCTCTAACCCCTGGCTTTGAGCCACACATGACAGCCATGCCAGGCATTCACTAAGAACCATGTTGTGTCCTCAGTGCAGTAATACTTTTTTTTAACTTCTACCAAACAAAGCCAAAAAGAAAAGTTCAAGGGCAAGTCACATGGACAATTTCTCAGTCTGCAGTAATATCACTAACTCTAATCTAGAGTCTAAAACTGTCTTTAAAAATTTGTTATGGTTAAGCAATCTCAAGAAATTCAGTTTGATCCCTAAATAAAGACAAAGTGTTGATAGAGCTATAAATTATAATCATAATTCACTAAACTAACTTACGTTTGCTTAAATCGATCTTTGGTTGTTTCTTCTTGTGTACTGGCTTGTAGGTGTAGTTGGGTTTACCAGCTCCAGGTACCGGTACTTGGCTGTTCGGCTTGAATAGACTCTGACAAGCCTGTTGTAGGTTCATTGTGCTTCTCTTTGCTGACAGATGGTTCAATCCTGTACCTGTAGACATATTACATAAACATGACTGTTACTGACACATCATGTGTGGAATATCAAAATTTTTATTAAACCAGTAAATACTACAATGTGCTAACATATACATACGATGCATATACATACAATGATATCCTATTTAACTCATATTCTTCTAACTTTTTATTTGATCAATGATAACAATGACAACATTCTCTCATATTAAAACATTCAGAGGATGTAGTTTGTAAAATTGTATTTACCTTGCATACTCGTGCCAGGTACTGCGAACATGTCCGTTGGTATTCCAGTGGAAGTTCCACCTCGGCCTCCTGTGACAAAATGATGTGTGCATTATTGTCAAGTGGTGCACAATGTACGCCGTACGTGGGGTATCATGTAATAGTTCCCACTACTTGCATTAACAAAAAGGAGCAATATGTAGGACATATACTATATACTTATGATTTGATTTATCTATTGGGGGAAAATGCTGCATAAGTTATAGAAATTAAGTGTGAATTGAAGAATGTTATGTAGTGAGCCATTTTATCTTTCAGAGAGTTTTGGTGTCATGTACCTTAATGACCTTATCTGAGACATGAATGTTATTGCAGGACACCAGGACAAACCTGACTGAGTACGAAATAAAAGAGGATTATATTAATAATGACAAATGTCCTGTTTGTAAGCAATTATAAAATAAGTTTGTTGGAGGGGATGTACAATTAGGTCTCCACCAGACTCCTTCACAGGTGGAATAAATCCAACAAAATGGACCTTTTTATTTATTTATATTCACTTTATGGCCGGCCAACTTCCCTGCCCAGCTTGTACATGTAACATGTACATTTACCTTTCAGGCTAATTTCAGCCTGAAAAGGAGTCTGGTGGATGGTTTCTACAACTAATTTCAATGCAACTTAATTTGTATGTATGTACATCAGTTTATTGTCTTACCTGAGGACATTCCTGATGAGAACACATCACCTGCCTCCCCTGAAAAAAGCAGTGGAAGTTTTTAGTTAACACAGAAGTACTATTATAGTAATATTTTTGCTTCTAGAAAACCAACCTCAAGTTCGTGGCAACCCTAAAATATAATGTCAACCAGTTTGTTACTAGTACTTAACTAACCAACATTTAATACTACAACTACATAATATTATGTGACTAGCGGTTACATAATATAAGATCATATAATATGTATGTATTATTATTATTATCATGTATGTATGTTTGAGATTATATTAGATACTATGTTACTAGTACAATGCTAACGTGGTACTGCAGATGGCTTTTGTTAATGAATACCTCCAGCGTCTGTCTTGGTGCCACAGTTGCCGCAAAACTTGACATGGGGACGGATGGGGGTCCCACAGGACGTGCAGAACACCATGTTCCGCACCTATAATATAGAACAGAAAAAAGTTACTGTTAGCTGTGTTACTTTCTTGTCCTGCTAAGTGTCTGTCAAGTGTCAACAAACGCAAATTTACAAATATAACGTACAAAAATCGACGTAACGAATATTTTTCACGACATAGTAAACCACCATTTTTAAAAAGAAACGGGCGTTTTTTTTATTATTGGACATCCTTACTTAAACATCCTGACGAAAACTCCAGATCCATGAGTCGATAGTGATACTCGATTCGACAAATAATCAGTGTCATCATCAGATCCTTGAACAAAAGACTCGTCCATGACATGGATTTCCCCAGGCCGATGGAGGAATACATCCGGGTCACCGACCCGGATGCGAGAATGTCTGGCAATGCCAAAGTAACTGTAGGGGTGACGCGATTAAAATGAGCTAAAGAACTTTAAAACCCTTTCTTGGGTGGAAATTTTGTTGAATCCTTGGCATTTTTGTGCTGGGTTGTACAGTGTAGGGTTTTGAGTGAATGTTTGTGAAAAAAGAAGTTTCTTCATGAAGTTGCCTTGTTATTGGCTTATCTGTTGCCATACACCCCTCCTTCCTGAAGCCTTGGTATCGACCTACATGTAGAATATGGGCACGCGCCGTCCACTTTTTCCCGAAACTTGGCTAACACGTGAAGGTGAGTTTGTGTGACAAAAACTTCGTAAACTAGAGATTTGATGCCCGTTTTTATGTCTGATTTAGCATATGTTTCAATGGAGAATGGTTTCAATCAGGCCTGGGTTTCAATGGTGTCTCCCCTGTAACTACCAAAAAGAAACGGAAAGTTCCGAATCCAAACCGGAAAGAGCCGAAACGAAAACGAAAAGAGACGAAAAGGAACGGAAGGGACGGCGGAAAGGTCCGGAAAGAACCGAGCCGATGTCGATGAGCCGAACGCTCGTGACATGATCGGAAGTGGTTATCACAGCCTGAAGCACTGACTTACTGACTTTGTACTATATATCATTCATCAATTTAGTAGTAGAGGACGTAGAGTAACACTCCGACGGGACGTCAGATAATCTGACGTCCCGTCGGAGTGTTACTCTACGGTCGATATACTCTCCAAACAGGACTCCAAGCAGAGGTCTAGCCTTCTTTTCAGGCGTTCCGGGATTGGTCGTTTTTTAGGGGGGGGGTATTTCCTGATCAAACGTAGATCGCACGCTATAGAAGCTCCGGCTGGCAACCCTACATAGCGTTCCAGGGAGAGCTGGGCGTGTTTTTGGGCTTTTTTCGGGGTTTCTCTTTTGCACTAGATTTTTTTAATCCAAATAGATCTTACGGGACAGAGACCAGTTTATATCCAGTCTGATAGCACGATCAATGCTCAGCTATAAATGTTGGGCCTACACTGAGGTCGACAGCACGGCTTTCATACAGACCCCCTCCCAGCACCAGTAGAGAGTCCAATGGGGCCTTCCATACATACTTTTTTTCGTCTTTCCATTATACATAGCACTAACAATAGACTTTGTATGTGACCAGTGTGACAAGTGATAATTTGAAAACAGACAATTAAAAACATGGGTTTGAAAATTTTTCCACATTCCCCAAACACGTTTGAACAATGAACAAGGATGACCATATGGTGTCAATATGGCCTTACACGTAGGTGCTAGGCCTGGTGCGATGGTGGTCTTTGTAGCCGTAGGAAAACAACAAGGCCATAAAACACATCTTCCCAATGGAAAAATGACCTAGGAATAATAACCCTTGTTTTTTTTCTTTGAAATAAGAGTTTGCCATCTTCTATTATCATGAACGTTAACTCGATCGCTTGGTTCAGTTCAGAGTCCGTTTTCTCTCTAGGTATTAACATTTGGTGACTCGTGATGCTGGGTGTGTTTCTAGGAGAGCACGTCAAAACGGCGCGCACTCTCGATTTGAAGACTCAAAAGGCCGAGGCACTGATTACGCACAGCTGCCTGTTACAGTGTACATATACAAATAAGTGACGAAAAGTGCGGTTTGCAAAGTTTGGGAACTTACCGATTGGTGGATGGCGCTTGAGGAAAAGGTGGCTTCCGAAAGCGCTTGATAAAAAAACGTGGCTCCTGAAGACGCTTGGTAAAAGACAGTTTGAAAAGACGATACAATGAAAACTTGGCTTCGTAGAACTGGTGCGTGCACGCCGGTTGTTTGCCAGAGAAGAAGACCCCCCGCTTGCCGCTGGCTACTTCATGAGTCACGTGACCGAACACATGATGCTAATTCCACGCCCTCATTGGTCCTAAGTTTTTGTGAGCCAGAAGAAATAAATCGCATGCAAACGCAAAAGAAATTGCGAGTGGTAACGCTTAAAAATGTAACTTCCCATCGACTTTTCTTCCTATAAAACACATCAAACGTTTTTCCAACTTGCGTTCATTTCATTCCATTGGATTTTTATCCTTCCCCATTTGGATTTATTTTCTCTTCCGATGCACACTTCTTTTGCGTTTGCATGCGACTTTCTCTTCTCTCCACGCGCGTCGGGAGCGCGGAGAGAGAAGAAATAAACCGCATGCAAACGCGAGAAGAAGTGCTTAACAACAATTATAGAGACCGGCCTGGTTAAATACAACAAACAAAACGTATTTCTTAAAAAAAAAATCAACAGTGGAGGGGGGACTCTTAAAGTTTAACATTGCAACAAAGTGACCCGATGGAAAATAAATACCTGCTAGCATGCATATGCTACGTTATTACGAAATCCCTAAAATCGGTCTTCTACGATACTTGCCTTTGATAATATATATAATAATACTGGTGGTCACCGTTTTTCTAATTTGTTACTATTGTCAGTTGCGCCGTCTACGTTGTTGGAATGAATACACATTCGGCTGTCAGCTCCGGGTGACAAATATCACACCCCACCCAGTCAGTAACCCAGGGGTAACCCAGGGACTGTTGTGAAGTGTTCCATGTATGACAGCGAAAGAAACGTTCTTTTCGATTTTGTGTCAAGCAAATACTCCCAATTTAAGTATTTGAATAGTATAGAGAAATTTATATTCCTTGTAGTCTTTAACAAACCAGCTCTAACTACTCATACTGCCAACTACATTTATAAGATTACCAGAAAGCGAGAGGAAGTTGAAAGTACTTGTGTACGTTTTATTATCAACATTGATGATGTACTTTGTCAATATGTGACCTGTCTTTAGCCCAGTGGGGCAAAATGTACAATAAAGGTCTTCATTCATTCATTCATTCATTCATTCATTCATTGTACTGCTTTTGTAGGTGTCTCTGTTTGTACTGGGATCGATGTTGTCAACAAATTTGCAACGGCCAATGTCGCATTGGCATACATTGTAAGTTCATTGTAAGTTCATGTTTTGACTGACAATTTAACATTATATGATGTATCCGCCTTGATAATACAATTCCTTCCAATGACGCCGGGCTCACACAGAGATGTCATAAGTTGGATTTGACCTTGATTTTGACCTGAGAAGTAAGTAAGGGAACCTCTTGCATGAACTACTTGAATGTTTGTTTCATTCAGCAAGCAGATGCAAATAAAGAAAGACAAATGAGAAAGAATCTCATTTCGTCGCTTTAATTTTATATCCCCCAGATTTCTTTCTTCCCACTGAAGGTATTTATTTCCTCTCTCCATGTTTTTCTTTCTACGCGCCCAAGATATTTCCTCTCTCCATGTTTTTCTTTCTTCGCGCCCAAGATATTTATTTATTTCCTCTCTCCATGTTTTTCTTTCTTCGCGCCAAAGATATTTTTTATTCTTCTCTCTCTGTGCGGTTTATTCTTCTCTCTCCGCGCGGTTTATTCTTCTCTCTCCGCGCGGTTAATTCTTCTCTCTCCGCGCGGTTTATTCTTCTCTCTCCGCGCGGTTTATTCTTCTCTCTGCGCGCTCGCGACGAGAAAGTAACTTTCATGTTTCATAAATTGCCCTAACTTTCTTTTCTTTTAATGTATGATATGTTTGATTTGATCATTTCTTTTCTCCCTACGTGTGAAACTATTTCCCGACTGAGGTTCATATATATATACATGTATATACTTTCATTCTTTTAGTTTCACTGGATTTTTTCATCCTTCCCTGTTTGGATATATTTTCACTTCCGCCGCACATTTATTTCTTTCACGTTTGCATGCGAGTTTCTCTTCTCTCCACGCGCGCACGTCGCGAGCGCGGAGAGAGAGGAAATAAACCGCATGCAAACGCA